AGTTAACACATTTATTAATTTAAACATTTTTAAAGCTCTGTGTAGGCCAAAAACTAGTTCATGGCTGCTGATCTGAACATAAAGTGTCCTGTATTTCACTCTAACTTACTTACTGAGAAATGATGCCTATTTTCTGCAACCTTCCTCTCAACTGTGTATTTTACAGTAAACCTGTTAACACTGAAGTACCATCATTATCATCATCATCATCATCATCATCATTTTTTTTGAGAATGGTTTCTCTGTGTTAACAGTTCTAGCTGTCCTGGGACTTGCTCTGTACACCAGGCTGACCTTGGACTCAGAGAGATCTCCCTGCCTCTGTCTCTCAAGCACTGTGATTAAAAGCATGTAACAGTACTACCCAGTAAAGTATCATTATTTTTAAAAGAAGAAAAAAGAATAAATTTGTATAATTTTTCTGTATAAAAAGCACAAAGCTAATAGAACTTATACTTCCTAGATATGTATTTGTATACTTTGCAGTGTGTCTCTCCCACCACCACCATGTGAAGCTCTATTTCCCGATAAGAATATTTGGAAACAGGGCTTTTAAGAGGGAAATGAGGTTTAGAGAGTCACAACACTATCCTTATGAAAAGAGCAAGAGACATGGGAACAAGTCTACAGAAAGAAGAGCAATGTAAGGACACGGCTCAAGAGCTTCTAAAAGTTAGAAAGAGGCCTCAGGAGAAGCACCTACTGAAACTTCACCTTTGAGTTCTGTCCTCCAGGACTGGAAAAGTTAATGACTGATTGTCATTACTCGGTGCATTCGTGTGCTAACACCTGATGGAGGAAGGTCATTGGTTAAAAAATAAAGAAACTGCTTGGCCCTGATAGGTTAGAAAATAGGTGGGTGGAGTAAACAGAACAGAATGCTGGGAGGAAGAGGAAGTGAGCTCAGACGCCATGCTCCCCTCTCCCAGGCAGACGCGATGAAGCTCCGACCCAGGATGGACGTAGGCTAGAATCTTCCTGGTAAACGCACCTTGGGGTGCTACACACATTAATAGAAATGGGCCAAGCAGTGTTTATATGAATACAATTTGTGTGTTGTTATTTTGGGGTTCAAAGCAATCTCTCTACATCACAGATTTCCATAAAAATCAATTTAACTAAAAGTATTCCATTTTTAAAAAGATGGCTAAATATCAGATATGACTAGCTAAATAAAATACATTTTGATTATTATCCATTAATTAGCTTCACCAAAATATTAAAACACACACACACAAAGAAGTGTTACTAGGAAATACTTTTCTTTGCAACCCTGCTCAGTCATAACAGGCTAATTCCATCACAGATCAATAAACTGGGGAGAGTGAGACTGATTATCCAAGCTCGTTTAAACAAGAATACTGGTTTTCATTCACAATGACAAATTTGAGGCTTCGTTCTTCACTTCCCCAAGCTATTCAGCTTTTATCATCTCTAGAAAATTAACTTTAACAATTTATTAACTATCTGCTTCATATATGAATAGCTATGTTGTAGGTGTTTGAGTTTTCCTACTAAAGTTATTCCATTATTTCTAATTAGGCACCATTAGGCAAAGATATAGTAAACACCTTAAGTTGTCATTACTTACACAAAAAAATATATTAAACACATGTTCAGTAAAGGCATAGGAAAGAGGTTGGGAGATGGCTCAGTCATTAAAGTACTAAAGTAATGCATGCCTATAATCTTAGTGATGGGGAGGCAGAGACAAAAGGATCCTGGGGCTTGTTGGCCAGCCAGCCTACCTAAAGCAGAATAAGTGATCACTCAAGAGACTGTCTCCAAGAATAGATGAAAGCAACTAAAAAAGCCACGCATTGGAAACTTCTGGCTTCATATGTACACACATACATATGTACACACACATATGCACATACACTAACACACACAAGAAAAAATACATAAACTTATTAAATTAGAACTATATAATGTTGTTTAAAATCTTCATAGTGTATTATAAGTCAGAGTTTTAAAAGGTAAAATATAGTTCTCCTTTAAGCCCACTGACATTTATATTATTTTCCTTTTTTCCATTTGGTGCATTTATTTACTTTTTGTTTGTTTGTTTGTTTATTTGTTCATTTCAGTTGGTTAGTTAGGATTTAGTTTTTTGGGTTTCTTTTGGTTTTGTTTTGTTTAATTTTGTTTTGTTGGATAAAGCCACCTGTAGCCCAGGCTGGCCTCAAACTCACTACATAGCTAAAGTTCGCCTTGAATTCCTGATCTACCATGTCTTCATCTCCCAAATGTTGAGATTGCAGATACAAGCATACAACTAAATACTAAATTTATTGTCACAAAAATATTAAAGCATTTTAATAGAAAAGTCAAAACAAAACTCAAGCACTTCTCAGCACTTTAAAAGCTTCCTTGGGGTTCTCTCCAGCCTTATAATTCAAAGCATGTCCAGAGCCCACAGACAACATCTTTACATAGAACCATTGTATGAATACAGGCTCTCCCAGGCTCATCACTACCTGCATTTTAATGTGATTCCCAGGAGAGTTCTAAGCACACAGAAGTTCAAGTAGAGCTATTCCTCAATAGGGGTTCTTAACTTGATGCCTGGGGTCAAATGAGCTTCCTAAATCCTTGAATTTACTTTCTCACATGAATACACACGTCTTCCTAGGAAGAGACTCTAAGTGAATCAAATTCTCAAAACAATATATATCATAAATAGAGTAAGAACTTGCCCTGTAAGATGCCACAGCCACACTGCTCTTAGATTCAGTTACTTCAAAAACTATGCTGCTCTCAATGAGGTCTGCTGAAGAATGACAAGAATGAAGGTCAGAACGTCACAGTAGGTCATGAAAGACCTTATCTGAAGAATTTATTCACAACATGCAAGAACTATGCCAAGAAGTCAGTTTGGAGACATCTAAACAAATAATTCTCTACATGAGGTTTGAGATTAAGAATGTGCACTTGAAGAAGATTCAAACTGAGAAGTAAATAAATATAAGGTAGGGAGGTTTTTTTTTTAAAGATAGGATGCCATTAGACAGTGAAGTGCTGAATTCTTGTTGTAAGAGCTCAATCAGCAAATCTCTAATGTGGACTGGTGTCTGACAGTGATGTGGGGTCATTTTAGAATATTACCTTCTTAGTACATTCTTTTAATACTTTCACTATGAGACTCCTGCCAACTTATTTCACCACCACCACCCCCCACCTTCTTCATTCTTTCTGGACCTCGCTGGCTAAAGCAAAGGACATAGCACACAGATTCAAAGGTATGACCTTGGGAAGGCCAGTGAATTAGATAAAGACTGGCTCCTTATACAGAGGAATGACAGTTGATGTATCAGAACTGGGTGTCTATTTCATTCTCTGCGTTTACCCTACAGTCATCTCTTCTGGGTATATATTCTCTCAGAGTACAAATTGTGACTAGTTTCTGTTCCCATGAGCCACAGTGCAAATTTCACTCCATTAATCAATACCCAGAACATTAAAAAGGGTTACCTCATCTTTATACCCATGTGTGAGAGCTGAAATTAGAGTCAGCCGTAACAAGCTACCCACCCACCCCACTCTGAACCTCCACTGCATGTGGATGCTGGGAACCAAACTCAGGCTCTGCAAGAACCACAAGCACTCTTAACCACTGAAACACTTCAGCCTAACGCATCTTCCTTGATAGGGCTATATGCAGCATTCCTGTGTATTTGTGAGATAGTCCCCAAGACATTCAAACTTCAACACTAATATTTTGTAGATGACTTGGCTATTAATTTTTACATTCAGAACAGGTTAAACAGACCAACTTGATTTTTTAAGTATATAAGGAATAATAATGGTGAACCATAATGGGAACCAACAAGGAAAAGTAATGAAAACAGAACAAAAGCTAGCATTTGCTGACTACTTTTTATGTACCACATACTTATATATCTCTGAAGATTAGGAACTACTATCTTTATTTGACAGATTAAGATACTAATACAGCAAATTCCCTAAGATTACAAAGCTAAAGAGTGACATATTCTTGAGCAGTTCAGAGATGAAAGCAGAGCAAAAAAGACAAGCTGGTGTAAGAGAGGACAGCGGTGTTGAATAGAGAGTGTCCCTGGTTTTACCTAGAGAAATAATGAAAAAGAGACACACAGGCATTGAGCACAGGTTGAGTGTTCCTTGTGCATGCCATGGGCCATTTCAGAGTGGATGATAAAATAACTGTTAATACTTTTAAGTAAAATGAAACTGGACCAGGACTTGAATAGTCTGACACCAAAGTTGATATTTCCAATCACTATGCAAACAAACAAAACTTAATCTGGGTTAGGTTGGTGTTTGTATTTAGGAAATACATACGTACATGCATGCAAATATATATATATATATATGTATGCGTACATATGTGTATGTACATACACACACACACACACACACGCACAAACTACATGTTTTCTCTCAGATGTAAAACCCAGACTTTAAAACATACACAAATAGGTAAGATGAAAATTAGCAGGAGACCTGTTTGGAAAAATAAGGCACCAATGAAGGGTGTTAGGAAACAAACTAGGGTAATGAGGGGCTGAGTATGAACAATGTATAGAAAAGGTATAGAATAGACTTCTACGAAAATGCCATAAAGAATGTTATCATTTTATAGAATGAATATAAGTAAAATGAAAAGAAAAAGTAAGTAACATCTTTTGTTGCTCTTAAAACACTGTCTCAGACTCAATGGAATCCACTTACTATCTGACTCTAAATAAGGCCAACACTCGCTTTCCTTCCTTGATGGAGAGAATCGGTAAAATCTTATCAGTAGAGAATCAAAAATAATGATTTTTTCAAAAACTATTACATTTAAGATGTGAAATACCTTTGTGCGGCCTCAATTTCTTTAAGTCGGGGCTCAATTAACTTTAACGCTGCAGCTAATGTTGTAAAAGTCACAAAGCTATTATGTGAATAAGCACATTTCAGACATAAAATACTGAACTGAAAAAATACCTCATTTCCCCAACTTGAAGATTACTTACCTCTTCATCATCTTCTTCGTCTTCAACATCCAGAATTCCTGAGTCCTGTTCAGACTTTGGGCTTGTGCTCTCCATCTCTGCATCAAAGATTGTATACACATCTTTCTTAGATTTTCTCTTGCTACCTATTCTAGGCTGTTGCAAGACAATGTTATCCAGGTTTCGTTGCTGTTGGGCCTAGGATAAAAGAAAAATACAAGAAATAATGAAACAAAGAATGAAAAAAAAAACTTGACACTCCAATGAACTAATTTTGAAAAAAAAAACATTATCTTGTAGGAAAAAAAACAAGATTTTTTAATATCTAAATATTTAGACTTAAAAGTATACTAAAATGTATAATTAAACATAGTAATGCATACATGTTGTTATTTGAAACAGGGTCTTGTGCAGCCAGGCTCGCTTCAAATTTGCTATGGCACATAGGATGCCTTGAATCCTAATCCTCCCGTCTCCTCCTCCCAGGTACTGGGATTCCAGGTTTGAATCTCCAAATTCAATTTAATATACATCCCTTTGACCTGATGTTATCCTGTATTAATCTATTTTTCAACGTCAACATAGAAAAAACAAGACAATTTGGTGATATTATCATAGGCCTTTTTAAGTACTGGCTAAACAACAAATAACAACTCTACACACCCCACTTTCACTTGCATAGACAAAAATGTAGTAAAAATGCCTAGTAGTTATCTCTTACATAGATAAGGCTATACAGAAATGATAGCACAAGATGGAACAGTAACTTGGAATTAGCTGTGATAAACTTAAGTAGGGGGAAAGTTTTTAAAAAGCAGTTATTTTGATATGAAACCAGTAAAATATAATCAAGACGATGAATTATCTTAAATTGATATTTTCTGAGGAAGTATTCTGAACTTGCAAATGCAGCCTATGGAGGGGGGGGGGGCTTTAAAAAATTTCCTCTTCAGAATTAAAGTAAACCCTCAACCTAACAAAATTAAGTAAAATGACAGTATACTTTAAATAGAACCAAAGAGAAAGAGAATGTCCCATCCAGAGTTAACAATAAAACCTCTAACTCCACAGTGTAGCTACAAGTGACCTTAGCCACTCTCAGAAAATTGAAGCTGTAAGACAAAGGGTTTGCTCTAAGTCAAAACACCAATGAGCAATTAGCAGAAGCTTGGTGTAGGAGGTCGTTCTGTATTTGTGTTGCTTTCATTGGTTAATAAATAAATTGCTTTGGGCCTGGTGATAGGGCAAAACTTAGGTAGGTGGAAAAGACAGAACTGAATTCTGGGAGGAAGAAAGCAGGGTCAGAGAGAGCTGACATAGAGATGCCAGGTCAGACATGCTAAATCTTTCCCGGTAAACCATGACCCCGTGGTGATAAAGATTAATAGAAATGGGTTAAATTAAGATGTGAGAGTTAGCTACTAAGATGCTAGAGATAATGGGCCAAGCAGTAATTCAATTAATACAACTTCTGTGTGGTTATTTCGGGTGTATGCTAGCCAGGCAGCCGGGACCAAAAGCAGGCCCTCCCTCCATCAACAGAAGCTCAAAGTGCGATCTCCAAAGTTCGAACCATTCATCTTTCACTATACCAACAGCCCAAGAGAAGGGCAAATGTATTCGAAAATAAGGGTTTTGTGGCCATATCAACAGACACAAGGCATGTTGAATATCCTTGAGAGGCAGAAACAGGAGATCCCTCAAGCAATATGGATAATGAGACTGGCCAAGTCAGCAAGCTCTAGGTTCAAGTGAGACACTCAGACTCAACATATACAGTGGGGAGTAATCAATGAAGAAACCCAACACCAATACAGGGCCTCCACAGGCACATGCGAACACACTTACATATCACACACATGAAAGAAGAAAAGGAAAGAAAAAAGCTGGAAATGACTGTTCTTAAGAAACTTTGATAATTTGTTTAAACTCAGAATGTTCCAGAAACATTCCATGGAACTTTGCTTTTCTGTACCGTGCCAAGTTACAAGATTTGATCTTGTGACTTCTTAAAAATCAATAGACTATTCAATATATTCCTCCTTAATGCCAAGTAGAAATTAGTTTATGAGAAAATAAGTGTCACTAAATCTGTATGAGATTAAGGAATTCAGGGCAATCTTCAGTATTAGAAGTTAGTTAAGGCACTGGTCAAATGAAACAACTATAACAAGACAGAAAAACATGAACTATGTGGGCTAGTTTCAATCAAAACAAAATGAAAAGAATCTACATTCCAGAGATTTAAATCAATGCACAAACTTGTCTCTCTGCATATTATCCAATGACATTCTGGGTTCGCTTACATTAAATCCATGGCTTCAGTAACAAACCTAGAGCAGACACCCACAATTTATGCCTATACAAAAGAAATGCATTCATGATCTCATTAAGTACAGTATTTTTTCTATACCTCTCAATGAGACAGCCTCCTGCACTGTATCTACTGCAGACTACACACCAAGGAGCAATGACTCAGGAGGCATAAGGAATGGGGAACTCCCATGGAGTTCTATTCCAAAGAGCAGATCTTCAGTTGCAGAGTGACTACTTGCTCCCTTCTTTCTCTACCTTCTTTCAGAACACTGAAGTCAAAGCTGTCCATAAGTATGTCTTGACATCATAACCCAAGCAAATTAATGTGCTTTCACATTCAAATACTGCCAGTTTCGCAGAAGCAATCCAGAGGAGTCACATTAGATACTGACATTAAACCTGAAACTATACAAATTGAAAAAGGAAGTAACCCTAAGCAAGTAACTTTAGATTTTTCAGTAATTTTTTATTTTTCTTTGTTTTGTTTTGTTTTTGGTGTTATTATGGCTGTTGTTGACCTATGGTTTTCCTGTTGATTTGTCAGAATAAAAGGCAGTCTGTGCCAGTTACTATGTTGACGGAGTGAACTCCTAAGTACAAATCACAGGTTTTTGTGTTATATTTGAAAGTCACAGTGCTGGTTCTTGTGGTCCAAGCGTTCACAGCTTCTCCACATCTGTAAAAGCTCCATCATAGGTAACCTGCCATGTAGGAAGTAGTCCAGATGTAAACACAAAGTTTCATGTGGAACAATCACATAAATGCTCAGATATTAGCATTATAGATGTCCATTCAAATCACCATCTTTCAAAATATGAGACTAGGAGGAGGTGGTGAAGATAAAATATACATATAAATACAACACAGATCATCATGAAAATGTGGCATTCAAGTTTATAAAAAATGCTACTCAGAACCTTCAGAGCTCTTTCCTAAAATGCCAAGTAGTTTTACTAAGAACATTTATACTCAGAACTGCTGCAGCACCAACTAACAAATTTCTGAGAATTAGCCTGGGCTATGAGGAAAGGAATACAAAGCACATAGTAGCAGTGAAATGTTAGCACCAACGTATCTTTGCTTTCTTCCTGCTGATTCTTTTGGTGGGTAATATACATTTCCTTTATCATCTCATATCTATTCTTCCTTGAGAATTCCTCAACTCTTGTTCTCTCTCACTCTCTCACTTCAAGACCCAGCAGCACATCTCCAGTTTCCAATATTATTAGTATATTCTGGTATCACTTAGATTCCGACACAGTGGAACCCGTCACCTCCACCACTATCCCCACCAATGCTCCTTTACGCTGCATATGCGAATTAGAGGAGTGAAGAGCATGGAAGTACAAGTTCGAACTCCAAAACCAATTACTTACATTCCACATAATAGAAATATCACTAGTCTCTACCACTTAGGTCAGACCACATTCTAAGACACTAGGGACATTTTCACTTTTATACTCACATTATTTCTCGACCTGATAATATGACTAAATTCAACATTTTCTCCAAAACCCAAACAAATTTTTCCTATAAAAAGCCTTCTATAGCCAGGCATGATGGTGTATACCTGTGATCCCAGCATTTAGAAGATGAAAGTTAGAGGACCATAGTAAGTTCAAGGCTAAGCTAGGATACATAAGTTCCAGTCTTTAAAATAATACAAATAAAAAAAGGAGAACAAGAACAGAGAGGAGAGAGTGGAGGAGGAAGAGAGTAAGAGAGGGAAGGAGGGAAGGAAGGAAGAAAAAAGAAAGCAGTGTCCCTTATATATAACTCAAATGGTACTTTCTGTATTTCTGCTTTCAATCAAACATGTATGGAATGCGTATTAGATACTGTGTGAAGCAATTTCAATGCTGAAGAGGCAAGGGAGAAACAGTGAAGGAGTGTTAACAGAAAATTAGAAGGTCAGCTTTACAATCCAGACAAGTCTTCTAGCTACAGAGGGCAGTCAATTGTGGGGAACTAGACTAAAAGCAGGAAAAGCAACGTAGATCATTGTAACAACCCGAATGAACAACAATGATGAGAACTGAAGGATGATAGCAGCACACACAGCAGACAATTGATTTGCTGACTTGCTTGCTGAACATGAAAGGAAAAGAAATGAGAACAATTCAAAGTATTCTGGACTTAATGGCTAGATAGTGGAGCAACCTTCAGAACAGAGACCATGAAAATCATAGACTAAGCAAAGAATCACTAAGATGAAAACCATAAGCCTGCTGGACATTCAGGTGAAGATGACATGAAAACACAATTTGAAATTAAGAAATGTTTATTTTCATAGTAAGAATCGCCATTGTAGGAATCCCCAATCTAGACACGTAACATACATAGACTAAACTGAGATACAAGTTTACTACACTAATGCAGCCATTAACAAATGGAGTCTGTGTGAGAATGCGATCTGGCCCCTAAAATTAAAGATTTACTAGAAAGAGGTAGAGGTTGTACACATAGCCACAGGCATTAACTAATATGAACTGTGAACCTAAGACGTCACTATTAACACTGTCAACTGTCAGAAAGCCTACGAAGCATCCTATACACACCATTAAGTAAAAGTTTATTGTTGAATGCTAGTCCCAGCTCCCAAGACATCAATTCAGAGTTCAAAACGCAAGACTCAAAGACACCTCTGCTTACCAACACAACACTGACCTCTAGTGGTTTAGAATATACACACATGACACTTAGAAACTAATTGAAAGAAGAAGCTTTAAGCTTAGAAGCTGGAGACTTCTTATAATTACTACACAAAGGCTGAGTAATAAATGAAAATGCTTTTTAAGATTTGTGGAATAAAAGGTCTTTACTTCCAAACCTTAAAATCTACTGATTCAATAACCAAAGCGAGTTTGCTTTGCTTCTCTGCA